ATAATAATGTACAAGTTTTAGGATTTCTTAAAAGTCAATTATCTGGTGATCTTTTTACATGAATGAGAATAGCTAATTCTGGTGGTATAGATGTATTCTTTATACAATTAAAAGATTTGTAGTTAGAACGTAATCCAAGTGTGAATACAGATCAAATACCTATACTACATCAACCAGAACTTCAACTAGTAATACCTATTCCTATTCCACAAAAAGATGATTTTAAAATTTGACTTACAAGGAATTTGTAATATACAGGAATAGCAACAGATGACGTAACTTTAGAAAAATTTATCTATGATGATTTTCAAAAAAAATTGGGAAGTAGAATAGCTCATGTAAGAAAGAGTCCTTTCAAGCTTAAAAATGTTAATGCTACAAAAAAAGTGGTTAGAAAGGTGATATAAAAAGCATCAGTTAAACAAATTGTTTGTCTTTACTCAGTCTGTAGAAAGGCTGGCTATACAAAGATTAATTGCCCTTGAGTTAAAAGGACTAAAAAGGTTAATTATGTATACATGATGAGGTAAAAAAGCCTGAAGATCTTGAAGAAGAATACATAGAAGAATATATATTGGAAGAGGAAGAAGAAGAGGATCCTGAAGAAGATAAAATAGAAGAAGTCGAAGATAATGAGGAGGAATATGATGATAATGAATCTCGTAATTGCTATGCTGTAAAAAAAAAGTGATACAAAATGCAGTACCTATGAAAAAGAACGCCAAGCTGAAAGAAAGAGCAACCAAGAAGTCCCCTACTTCCAAGTCTCGTATTAATATGGCTACAGATCAAATGTATTAAATAGTCTTAAAATCTTCAATATCATCATTAGTCCCCCATTATCCTAGAGAGATTCTTATAGAAATTTCAAAATTTATTAATATAATATTTCCTAAATTAAAAGACCATTGCTTGAATACTGTTATACCAAATAATACAGTTAAAAGAAAGGAATTAGCATGGGAGAATGTTATAGAAAAAGTTCAAGATATTTTATTTCCGCTATTACAGGCAGTAAATACTGAGCAGAAGCTCCTTTTACAAGTTCCAGAATTCCCAAATAAAGATCTAATCATGACAGATTCTTCGAAAATAAAAGAAATTAATACATCCTCTAGTCATACTTTAAACCATGCTATTAAAGTATATGCACAATATCATTCATCAAAAAAAAAGTGATATGCAAAACACCTTTCGGCTAATTCCTATATACTAGTCTAAGCCATTAGAAATAAATTTTCTTCAGATAAAAGATGCCGATGATGTTGCAACTATCTCCTGTAAGGTGGAAGATGTAACCATACCCTATGCTATGATTGATAGTAGATCAGATTCGTTAATAATCTCAAAAAATATTGCAAAGCATTTAGGTCTTAAAATAAATAGGAAAAAGGTCCATATGTTTAATGGTGTTGCTAGCAAATCTCAATCCCTTAGAACAGTTAATAATGTCCCTGTAACTATTAGTAATAAAGAGAAAAGACTTACTGCTACAGATGACTTCTCTATCGTTCCTACAGAATATAATAATAATGGAAAAGAATTATCATTATTTATTCTCAATATTCAATAGTAATATCGAATAGGTTGGAAACTTTTGGTGAGAGGAGAATTCAGAGCAACCCGAAATGGGAAGACTATTATTATTCCCTATTAGTTCACAAATCCCAGCGTAATGTCTTTACTGTAAAAAAGAAGGAATTAGAACCCATAAAAAAACTAGATGATCTGACATGTCAATACTGTGAGAAAGAGTTCAACATATGAAGGCAAAAAATAATTGCAATAATAGTGCTTTGATAGTAAATAACGGTGTCTCATTAGTGAATAAAAGTGCTCTGACAGTGAATAACTGTGTCTTATCATTAAATAATGATGTTTCACCAGTGAATAACAGTATTCCAATGGTAAATGTCATATCTAATATCAAACTAGATTAATCAAACTATGAATATATGAGCGGAATGTATATTTTTTTGGATAGCAGGATCATCTTTATTTGTATGAAAACTAGGTATAATAAAATTTATTATTCTCAATAGAAAAGGTGTGACCACCGTGGTCATAGTGGCGCAGTATATTTTGCTTATGATGATAATCATAAAAGTCTGATTTACCGTAATGATCTTGGAACGCAAATATCACGATATCTACCAGTCCAATTTTGATGAGGATTGAACTACTGGATTCAGTAGATTCTGATCTTTCCATTAACCTAAATTTGCATAAATCCGATCAGTAGATGTTGAGATATTATCCTTCAAAGTTCAGGTAAAAAAATATACTCTATATTATGTTTTAGCCAATTAGATCGCCCGAATATAACTGCGTGATCATGTGACACCACGTGGACTTCCGTTGGATGTCATCTGACACTGAGCCCTAAAGGAGCAGTATCATATGACCAAATTACATACACATTATTTATGGATACTAAAGATGGGAACTGTAATTAATATGTTGCAACTTTTAATGTTGCAACTTACGTTGCAATTAGTTTTAACCTA